TTATTTGAAAACAAGTAAAGTGTGTGCTGTTTATTCATCGTTGAATTTATCGCTAACAAATCACAGACACTTACTGTAGAATAATCTTAAGCCCAACAACTACATAGTATATAGTTATACTATTAAGAAATAAAAGTAAAGGCCATTTATTTCGACAACTGGCAATAAAACACACAAACATAACCCATATACATATATTATTTTTAAAATCTGACAAATATAAATTCAGATTTTGTAAATTTTGAAACTGTGGTCCCGTATGGAGGTCAATGGGAGTTGGGGGGTGGGATCACTCAGAACTGGATCCTAGATTTACAAGTAATCGTTTAAAATAACCATATACTTTTAAACTTTTTATCCAAGTGGGGATCAACTGAGTTTGGGTACTCTCGAAAAATTTGGCTGAAAAAATGTATTGAAAATCGATAGAACATGTAAATCAAACTGAACGAAATGCCTCACGTAGTTGCATGAAATTCAGCGGGTAATTTACTATGAACATGTAATATTTCAACTCTTACTTCTTCACACAATACTCGTAAATTTACAGGACGTGCGTTGTAGTCGAATCAAACAAATCTTATTCCAATATTATGTTCCAGTCATACGATCTGTAAAAGTTAAATAAAGTATTAAAATAGCCGGCGCTGAATATTGTGCAGACTGCATTTGCCCAAAGTTTATAAGAGGAGCGCGGATTGGCCCTCTGGTAGAACTCTGGATTTTGGAGCTGGGAAGTCAGTTTCGAATCGTGTGATTCCATAAATTATTCTCCGTGCTTTAAGCTGTGGGTGCGTTATAAGAGCGACAGTCAATCCCTTGATATAGACGAAGGATGGTAAGCTACTGCTGATTGGCTACTTTCCCTGTAGTCATTAGTCCAAAATTAGGGATGGCGGCAGCTAGGCTTACTAGCTTTGCCATTAATACAAATACATATAAGAAAAAACTTTTCTAAAAAAGAAAGTAAATGTAGGGATAGCTAATATCAATCCTTCAAAAGCAATGCAAACAAGATGATAGGGATGGTACTGGTATCAACCCTACATAATA